TTACTGACATCAATGAGGAAGAGGACTGTCCTCTTCCCAACTCCTATCCATCTTGCTCTCTCAGCCAAAAAAACACCACAACCATCTCTACATTGTATAATCATTCTTTGGCTGCAAACAAAGTCTTTCAGACAGAACATGATCACAATGCCAATGTCCTGTGGACTGAGAAGGAAAGGGAACAAGCCATGAAGGGCCATGTAGCAACAGACACTAATGACTTGCAAACACAGGTATGTGGCTACACATTGGGAGCCTTATCTGATCATTTACCTGAGTTATTGCTAGATTCAGTCTCAGTATCAAGACAGTGTAAAGGCTACATGTGAGATGTACCTGAGAATCCCAGTAAACATCATTTTGGGGTAAGTTCATTGCGTTAGTTTTGGTAATTCTGCACCTAGTTGTGCTATCTATTTTCCCTTCTTTCTAAATCACTTTCCTCTTTATTCCTTTTTTGCTCTATTGTTCAGTATTCACTGAGCATTCTATAATTTCGCCTTTGTGGCTGATTTGTTTACCTTTCTTTACAAAACTTCGGACTAGTATTGCAGAGTCCAGTATTCCTATTCTTTAGTTACTCATACTGGACTCTAGGTACTGTACACATTCTGTACTCTCTGATAATAAAGTTACTCATAGCGGACTCTAGTTCTGTCCCTGTTAGCTCTCAGCAAGTGGCTAGACACTTCCCAGAAGTTCTCATTTGAACACATTGTACACTCAAGTGTTCGGTGCCTTATCAAACTTCTTGATATCAGCCAATCACTCAATATTCACAAGTCAGGCTCCCTCATGGTCTTTGTTTGCACATCCCTCCCTGACTATATCCGCTCATCACTACAGCCAAAGCTCCTGGCTGCATTTGAGAATAATGAGCTGCTTACTGAGAAGCCTGGTCAATATGATGAGGATGACATATTTGAGGCGCTACACTTTTCCTGGTACAACCGTCACTGCACAAGAGTAAGTACTGATACAGCCATGTTATCCCTTTCCAGCTGCCCACTAACTTCCTTGAAAACCAGGGAGATGACGCTCCAACTGAGATTTTGCCTCTCATGTTAGAGAGGGAAGATGGACGTCGTACCAACTATTCCCAGATGATCCCTTACCTGTCCAAGAAAATCAAAGATCACGGCACTATTTAGCAGACTATCAAAGTTGTCTTTGCAGACCTATTCCATTGGATCCATGATGTGGTAAGCTTAAATATAGTACATTATTGTGGTATCTAATCTAATAATCACTCTATCCACAAGATTGAGCTCCAGCTACCTGAGGAGTATGAGTTATTCGCTGAAGTTGCGCCTGGCAACAATTCATCTCCAATATTCCCCTTCCTTTCACTGGTGATTAACCTCAATGTCTCTACCAAAGGTCATCGAGATAGCAAAGACAAGGACTTCTGTCTTGTCCTTCCTATTGGTAGTTTCCAAGGTGGAGCCCTTGTCATGGTTGAAACAGGTCTGATCATGGAATTAAGACAAGGTGACTTCGCCATCTTCAGATCTTGTGATGTTACACACTTCAATCTGCAATATCAAGGCAAAAGAGCATCTTTTGTTTTCCATACTGACAAAGAGTTCTCTTCATGGGCAAAGAATAGAAATGGATGGGCAGACAATGTAGTTTGAATAGCTTAGCTTTTTGCACGTTTTTTCTTTGTGAAGTTAATATACTTTCAGATGCTCCCACACCAAAATTTGACGTGTGGTGATTTAATCCTCCCCACGTATTGCAGGTTCATCATCCTCTTTATACTACTCATGGCTAAAAAATCTGCTTCCAGTAAAACCAAATCTCAGAAGGGTAAAATTATAATAAATGCTGGGGAGTATGAGAGGCCTAAGGAAGTTGGGACAGCACAAACTAGGGCTGCCAGCAAAACAGCTCAAAAGACATTTCTGGAGAGACAACGTCAAGGTATTTGTTTTTTTAAATCTCCCATAAAATATTACATTCTACTGATGCTATTTGTTACGAACTGTACTTAACCATAGACTTTATTTCCCTTCACAAGTAGCTACACTCCGCTACCTGCATATACCTTCCCATACACATTGCCTATTTTGGTATCACCCGTCCTTGTTTGTTCAACACAAATGCCTACCATAAAGTAGACACTATATATACAGACCTGTATTATAGTTACTATCTCCAATATGATTGTACACTTCAACAGTGTAACTTGGTATTCATCAGTTGAAACCCTCATCATCAGAATATGTCTCAAACTTGTCCGCAACAAGCTTATCAGAAACCACTTATATATCTGAAACCCAGTGTTACCAGGCTTGCACATCCCAAGCGTAACACTATTTAGAAATCCTGAAATGTACTGTTGATACTCTTGAGGAAGAGGATGAGGGGGAGGATGCCCCACTGCCACCCTCCCAGAAGCATAGGCATAGGAGGGAGGTAGTAGATGACCAGAATGAAGAGAATGATAGTAACATGGTCCAGACTCCACATTCAACTCCAGCTAGATCCTGGAGGCTTATAGATAATGTAGATGAAGACGGGGGTGGGGATGACAATACAGATACAGAAGAGTTTAGGAACACTATTAGAGGGGATAGTAAACAAGAAGGTATAATTCCTTTATCTTGTATATCAAAGTTGTCTTTTATATTATAGAGAAGGATGATGGCAATCATTCCCAGATGCAAGGCAGAAAAGTGAGTATATCTATCTACTCTGAATAAAAGTTAACATCTTCACATATGTATATAGGACGCACAACAAGCTGATAATATTGGTGAAAGCACTAGCACACCATCTTGTTTGCCATCTGCAGCTCTTTCTATCCAACCTTCCAGTTGCACATCAAGCACAGCAATGGCTAGTGTATCTCCATCTTCTGCTATGACTAGGAAGCGCAAACCTACACTAGCTTTATACCCTCCTTCTTTGGCACAGCTAGCTATAGAAGCCCATACTCAAATGCATCTTCATATCTCAACAAATGAAGGATTCCCTGCTTCTAATACACACTCTGATACCTCAGGGAAAATAGTCACTAAAAGCTCCAAGATTAGCAACAGCTTTGAATCCAAATTAAGGGAGGTTGAAGAAAATGAAGCGCTGAAAATCTTCATGATGGATTATGTGAGTGCATTTTTTCATTACCGTGATTTGGTTTTAACTCTTGCTTGAATTTTTAGGTATGGTCTGTTGGGCCCCAAATACGGGGAGAGGTTGTAGCCAAGGCCAGACTCATGATCAATGGTGCATATGGTATCCCAGGAGATATGTCTCCTGAAGAAACCAAACTTGCTATTCAGTGGTTGATTGTCACATGTGTGTTTACTGATGGGGAGCTTGATATCAAAGTAAGAACTATTTTTTTTTTTCATTTTATTACAACCTTATCGGTATCAGGGAACAAAGACCAGTCTCAAACCCTATTTTCAGGGATCTCATAAGGAACCGATGGTTTGGAAGAAAAGGTGAAGGAATTAGGTACGCACATATTTTCAAAGGTATTCCTCTGCCTCTACTTACACTGGTTGCCAATGCAATATGACTTCTGCTTCCTACTCTTGAATATTTACTTACTTATCCACTAAGTTGAGTGTGCTCTTAGAGCCTATAATAGTGGTGGTAAGAGTATACAGGATTTTTCTAAGAATATGTTCAAAGCTAGGTGAGTTCTAGTCACATTTATAATAGTTCTGTCTAATCTTATTAGTAGATGGGGATTTTACTTTGAGAAGCTCTCTACACTCCAGAAGTGTTGTCCTGGTTGGATGACTCAAATGAGGAATAATCTTTGTGAAAGCATAGTCTAGATTGTTTGATTCTTTTAATGATATTGTGCATTTTTGATATTGCTTTTGATATTACGCATTTCTTGCATTACCCTTGAAGTTATAATGGCAATAAATGTCCAAATAAATAATTGATCCAATCTATAGGTACATATTAAACAAGGTGAAAGCTATAAGACTTGTATTACAGCTATTTTCTCTATAAAATCTATAAAATCTAGGCAAAATCTATAATTAGTTGGCTTGACTCTAAAAGTAAAAAAAGATCCCCAACATCTATAAAAGGCTATAATAACTTTTGGTCATCTATAAGAGCCTATATGTGGCTCTATAAATGCCAGAGGTTCTATAACAGGTCTGATAGTTATGACAACTCTATAAGTACCTATAAGCATGTATAGCTCTATATTTGCTCTATATAGCTACCCATATTCAAATATTACAACAGTTTCCCCCATTTCTGGGATATATGCCCAGACTTTGCTGTGGATCAGGGGCTAAAGGTTGAAACCTTGGCTGAAAGTCTAATAAAGCAACTCAGAGGGCAGGTTCTCATATCACCCAAATGTCATGACTAGATCAGTGCCTCTCTTTGCAAAGACCTGTTTCCAACTCTTGGACGTCAGGTGGTCCTGTGGCGTAGTGTACCTTCACCAAAAGATGTCCTGCAATGCCGCTATGGCTTTGTGCCAAAAGATGATTTCTCAGTTGGGGATGACCACAGATTAGCCCGGATGTGGTTCTATCAGGACCCTCAAGCAATCCTGGGGAACCAAAGCAAGTCATTTGGACTTCAGATGGCCTTTTTTCCATTGATGATTGTCTATCCCAGGATGAGCTAAATCTTATTTCAGGGATATATAATGTATACACAGAAAATGGCCCCCAAATATTGCAATTTTTATGGTGGCCAAGTAATTCGACTTTCATGGGTGGAGGTCTCAATCATGGCTTTTGGCTATCCTCTGCCAAGAAATGGTTTTGTGCACGCTTAGATCATATCACCAACAATATTGTTTATTTGATGGCTGCAAAGACATAGATGAACAGTATGGTTATAAATAGGACATCCACTAAGTGTTACAACCAAAGTTTAAATAGTTGATGGTATTCAACAGGAGAATTTGCTGAGAAGTCTCCTGGATCTATTGGGGTATTTATACTACTACAGGTTATTTGTACATGCTGTACTATACAGTTGATAACGCAGTGGCTGATGATGTCATAGGGCACAGCCCGTGTGACCAGCTCTACTGCGTGAGATACTTGTATCTAAAAATGAAAAAAGCAGTGCAGCACAAGAAGGTAAAGATAAACAGAGTTTGAAAATAAAAGGAAAGTGTCGCATGGCACAAAATAGAAAGAAGGTTAAAACAGAGAATGAAAGTAAAAGGTCCAAAAATTGTGTATTGTAACACTGGTTTTTTGAGTGCAGTGACAAAGTGGCCTGCAGAGTTGTCTTGTTGTGGTTTTGAATCTTACTTAGATATCTATGCCTATGTTGTTGTGTGCCGCATATGTGTTATGAAATTGTGTTTCTTGCTTGTCAACATATTACTAGATTGAGGTTGCCCTTTGTATGAGCTTTTTTTTTGTTGATTGTGAGTGGTATAATACATATCTAATTTCTTGAAACACCTCTCTCTCTTATCTGAATCCATTGAGCACACTTTGACACTTATTTTTTGGGTAGTAAATTCTATAGCAGTCTTACAGGTAGGTGTATGTATCTGTCATGCAGGGCAATTGTAGGGCAACAGATGCCCAGTGAGTGGACAACTGTTGGCCAATGATTGGGCAACAAGTGGGTGATGCATTTCAAGTGTCTCAAAAAATCTTATTTTGGTCCTTCCTTAAACGGCCATTAAAATACTTATTTTTTCAATATCAGAAAATAAGATAACATGGCTCTCTGGTGCAGACCTGGACCCGGTTGTTTTGGGTTTTGATCCCCTTGTTGTGGTGAGTTACTGTAGTATTAGCATTCCTCTCTATGATGTACCAAACGGTGAGGTAAAGTCTTTGCAGGTATCTCTGATAATTAACATTGTCCGATCATTGCTGTTTACCCTGTTTTTGCCGCACTTAGTTGTAGGTGCTCCACAAATTGTGGATGTGGCTCTGTCTGCTACTACATAAGCCACTATGTTGAATGGAAAGCAAACAAGAATGAAGAGGTGGTATCAATTGAGTCATATGAATTGCTTACAAATAAGAGGGCAAGTCATGCGGATCGGTACTATCGTTGGACAATAGGTGCAATTGGTCTGGGGAGAAGTTGAATAACTCACTAGTCGTTGAGCTTGAGACTGTTGGAACTTGACCAGTAGATATAATTTTTAGTTTTCTAGCTGCCTATGTAGAAAAATAAGCAAGAACTTGAAGCATTGAAGCTGCAGAACAAAACCAAAAAAATGACACATGTTTTGGAATGGTTCTGCAATTTCTGGTCACACTGGGTCACAACGGCACTCACAGACCAAATCAGGAGGAGCTTACTAGTCAAATTCTGCCAGGTCATACCAAGTCCTGACGCTGGTGGTATGTGCAGTATGTACCGAAGCAGAGCTAGCAGTCCTTGATTGATTATCTTGGTGTGTGATTGCCTGTTTCGGTCACCTAGTCATGACTTCATGTAGCCTCTCGGACATCACCACAAAATTTACCGTCTTTTGTTTGACCGTTTTCTTGTTCCTTGCCACGCGTCAAATACCCCACTCCTTTGAGCCACTTGTCATGCCATTTGTTTACCTATGTTTGTTCTAGTGAAGTTTCCATAGTATAAGGGGCCTGTATGTTGAAGGAAGGGAGGACACGTTGAAATACAGAGACTTTACAACAGTGAACACCCTGTGTGAAACGTTCCCACAACCTTTGGGGTATAAGCCACGCTTTTGCCACATATTTTTTACTCCTACGTCTCACAAACACAATATAGGGCTTTTTTGGGTCTTATAATTGGAATGAGTACAATTTAAATCTCTTAACAAGGAAACCTTTGGGGTAAAAGCCATGCTTTTGCCACATATTTTTCACTCCTACGTCTCACAAACACAACACATTCCTACTTTATCAATGACACCACACTTTCCTTGCAGGACCTGATCACTCCTTTTGACGGACCAGCAAAAATGTCCAACACCAACTTAGCCAACCCGCCCTACAACCTTTGAGTCCGTCACAAGACCACAGGAAGTAGACAGCGGGCCCACAGTGAGTCATCACTTTCTAACATTCCTGATAGCCCCCCTTTACAGAACACCAAACCCGGCCTGGAAGATGGGGGCGGTGTCACCCGTTTACGGACGTCCCGCTCTTTTAGCAATGTTGTCCGCAGTGAGAATCCTGTTGAAGAGCCCGGTGCTCGGGCAACAGAGGCTGTGGGTACCAGCTCAAAAAAAAAACCATCATGCGCTCATGAAGCCACAACCCATGGAACCGCCAAGGGCGAGAGAACATGTTCCTGCTGTAGTAGGAGAGCATGAGGCAATAATATATCAAGCTAACAAGCTTTTAACCGACGAACAACTTAGACAGATTCTCCAGCGTCGGCAGCTAGAAAGATTGGCACGTCAGTCTGACTCGGCATCCATACCAGAGACTGCGGTGGGGTCCAAAGGTAAAGGCCCCAACCCCCCACAACTGGGGAGACCTTGATGTAGAGGAAGCAGACATTGAGCCTGAAGCTCAGAGGGACGCCCTGCACGCATGGAATGATGCATGGAACTGGGCCCAAGATGCCAGAAGTGAAGATAATCCTGGTGCTGGCCAGTCCAAACAGATAGAACAGTGTGATCCTGTAGCTGATGCAGGAGGCTCTATTAGCTCTCATGTTCAACCTGCTAGAAACAAAAAGAAATGGGTCAAGAAACGAGAAAAAAGACTGCGTGATTGGCATGCAAGAACAGATGCACCTCTGGTACCACTTGAGCCTCAGCCCTGCCTTGGGGATCAACATAGCCTGGTAGCCGCAATAATTGACAACATGCTGCAACCGAGAACACAAATGCTGAATGGCCCAGTAACCGCCACAATGGAGCCTTCAAACCAGATTGATCCCCGTAGCTACATAGGGAGGACCCTGGGGCGACTTCACCAGCGGAACCCTGACCCTGATTCCTCTGACTTGAGTAGCGAGTCGACTGAGTCTTCCAGTGAAGAGAGTTTGAAAGAGACGAATTCTAAGAGTGATTCTACGCCCTCCTCGGGGCACCGAAGGACTAGAACTAAGATGTCCAAGGAAAGGAGGCACCACTGAGCTAAACATTGCTCCTCCACACAACGGCCCATTCTCAAGCCCACTGAGCCCATGGTATACGATGGAAAGCCTGACTTGCAGGAGTTCCACCAGTTCATGGTGGCGGCTAATACTTATGTGAGAGAGGGACGGGTGCCCAAACGAGGACGCGTCTATCGCCTCTCTCCATTTCTAAAAGGGACTGTGTATGATTTTTTCTTGTACAAAGTGTCGCCTGATCCCTACAGTTGGAGACTGAGAGAATTCTTCATTGGCCTGTTTAACCATTGTTTCCCTGTGGACTACCGCATGAAGCAAAGAGATAAGTTGAAATGCTGCTTCCAAGATAACAAAACAGTAAAAGAGTACCTCTACAAGCTCACAGAGCTCTGGAACATCATTGGTGACTCTGATGAGTGCCAGAGAGTCATTCAGTTTTGGACCGGACTGAATAGCGAGCTTCAGCAAGGACTGTGGCTGAAAGAGCTTAACCCTGAGCTCTTGAGCTTCGAGGAAGTACAGGCTACAGCCAAAAGGCTGGAAATTGCTCACTCAGCCGGAAACCGCAGTTGCCAGCTGAATCCTAAGAACTCAGGGAAGGACCAAGGACCTCCTCCTCCAGGCCCAACCCCAGGATCTCAGAACTCCAGTAGGTGGGACCACAGGAAGAGGGAGCCTAGGGACGAGGCTAGGCGTTTAGCTTGGGAGAGAATCAAGGGTCCAGTACCTGGGGGATCCTGACTAACCCAAGCTCGTGTTCAACCAAAAGGAAACGGGCAATGACCATATGCAGCAGCGGTTGAGTCCTGAAGAGAGGGCCAAACATGTTGCGGAGGGAAAGTGCTTTATTTGCCATCAGCCAGGGCACTTTAGTAGGAACTGCCCCAACACCAATATGATCCACTCAGGAAGAAGGGACAAGCCACCGGGAATTCCAAACTTTGCCCTTGACATTGGAGCGGTGCAAGTTATTGAGCCTGAAAGGATGCATGAGTTAGCTGGTACGACAGAGGAAGACCACTCATTAGAGCTGGGATTGGGATCAATGGTCCCATTCCATGATTGAGTTGACTGGGGAGACCTGTCGGGACCCATGGGTGATCCCCTGGCCAATGCAGCTCAAGGATTTCTCACTGAAGGGATGCCCTACCCAGTGATGAACCACCTGATAGCAACACTTACTCAGCGGGACAATTCTGCGTGTATAGAATGTCAGCCGCTCATCATGTTAT